GGGGGGTCTAGCCTCCCCCTCCCCAAGCACATCCCAATACTTCCTCAGAAGAGCTGTGTCCTCCACACCCATCCCAAGTTCTCCAAGCCTTCTGACCTGTTGTAGATGCTTTCGTAGAACTTCTTGCTCGGCAAGTAGATGTGAACAGTAGGGAAGGTCAGCTCTAGAGTGTAGTGGGAGGCGGCCAGCGTCTGGCTCTGGAACTCGGCCATCTCCTCGGGGTCTCCGGGGATGACCATCTTAAGAGGAAGAGGAAAGGAAGATTACCAACAGAATATTTGTAGCTTAGGGCTGAACCGTGAGGTCCTTCATGCTCTCTGAGGTTGATTGTTTTCTTGCAGACGTTTCATGACCCAACTAAGCAACATCATCAGTGCAAGAAAGGGGTAGGAATTGATCTTTATTTATCTAGAATGGCTTCTCCTGACAGTGTTGGTATGTGTTGTTAAACAGCACCTTCTTGCACTGACGATGTTGCTTTGTTGGGTAATAAAACGTCTGCAAGAAAACAAGCACCCAGGACACCACAGAAGATAAGAAATAAAGGGGAAAGGTACTCCGAGCAGCTTGGGAAAAGGGCTAAATCAAAGGGGCACAACCTTTGGGAGGGGGTTTGAAGGTGGGACTGTTCTCCAAGAAGTAGGTAGGGCCCAAGCAAGAATTCATTTGGATTTCCTTTCCAATAAAATTTAATTAAAAACCATTCTTACTAGAGCCCAACCTTTTGTTACAGTATTTCTCAACCATGGTAACTTTGAGATGGGTGGACTTCAACTCCCAGAATTCTCCAGCCAGCATCCTAGGAATTGAAGTCGTCACACTTAAAAGGATGCTGGCTGGGGAATTCTGGGAGTTGAAGTCCACCCATCTTAAAGCCAACAATGTTGACAAACCTGTCTGTACTGAATACTTTTTGCCAGAGCCCTCTCAGCTTTCAGATCTGGTAGCCACAAATTTTGGCTCCTCTGGGCCAAAGCCACCTTGTCCAGCATGCTGCTTCCTGCCCCCAATGTATGGGGCAGCCAGAAAGCCTCTCACCTCCTCCGTCTCATACATCGTCCGCTTGGAGGAGAAGGGTGAAGGCTCAGGCTGCTTCAGCTCACAGGGGCTTTCAACTGTCGACAGCTCCACCTCTTCGGTGGCTGCCAGCGCCAAATCCCAAGGGGCATCCGTAGGCGTTGGGCAGAAGGTCAAGATGAGCCTGCCAAGGAGAGGAGAGGAGAGAACTGGATCCCCACCCCCATCCCTCCCTGTATTGCAGTTTCAGTTGTGGTGCTACAGAAAGCCCCCTTCTCTTTGTAGCAGGAAAGCGCTCTCTTCTCCGCTCACGAGAAACTTACTTAGGAAGGAGATACTTCTTCCCTATGCCTCTGGCCAGTAAGTCAGGGGCTTTGCCCACCCGAAAACAAGGCACTGACAGCGTCCCACCATCTTCATAAATGCCTGTGTAGAAGAAGAGCAGGAAGAGCCGGGGGCGGAATTAAGCAAGTCATCAGCCTAGAATCAATACATTCTCGCAAAGGCTCCAAGTCCCACCCCTCTTGGATTCTGTTGGCTTTTATCTAGCACCAATTTAGCACCGAAGATTACTTGACTAATTCCTTGTGTGTAGGCTTGAGCAACATAGGTAGTCCTCAATTTACAATGAGAATTGAGCCCAACATTTATGTTGCTAAGTGAGACAGTTGTTAAGTGAGTTTTGCCCCATTTTACAACTTTTCTTGCCACATTCCTTAAGTGAATCACTGCAGTTGTTAAATCAGTAACACGGTTGTTAAGTGAATCTCGCTTCGCCCATTGACTTGGCTTGTCAGGAGGTCGCAAAAGGGGATCACGTGACCCTGGGACACTGCAACTGTCATCGACATGAGCCAGTTTCAGAAGGTCGCAAAAGGGGATCAGATGACCCTGGGACACTGCAACCGTCAAAAAGACAGGCCAGTTGCCAAGCATCTGAATTTTGATCGCATGACCATGGGGTTGCTGAAACAGTCATAAGTATGAAAAATGGTCACAGGTCACTCTTTTCAATGCTGTTGTAACTTTGAACAGTCACTAAATGAATGATTGTAAGTCGAGGACTACCTTTATGGGGCTTGTAGTCCCAGATGTCCTGGCAGCTGTACTAACTGTCCTTTGTCAACTTCTTCCTGGGGAAGGAGGACGTTTGGGAAGCCACCAAATCCATCTCTTCACTTACCGTGCAAGTCGGTCAGCGTGACCTCTAACTGAACGGGACCCGTCGGTTCCAGATCCGTGTGCAGCTCAACACCGGCCAGGTCCAGCCGCAAGCGCTCCCGGCGCACCGCCTTCTCGGCCCAGGCACGCCTCTCCGCCCAGACCCGGAGGTCCGGGACAGGGAACTGGAGAAGGAGGGAACCTTTGGGGGCCACCAGCTGCACGTTGGCCTGCCATTGGGCAGCCGGGGGGAAACCTGGCTGGCACCAGCAAGGGAAAGAGAAGGAGAAGACAACCTCAGTGGGGAAGGAGAAGGAGCCACCTGCTTGAGCCGGCCGGCCACCTCCCCTCCGCCTTACCACGGGTTCCTCGGGAGGGTAGCCACCCGGCCGGGGTGGCACCATGGCGGGTTGCAACAGGGAGCAGAGGCGGTCCAGCGTACCCAGGTCCACTTCACAGAGGAAATTAGCCAGCTCCACCGTCAGCTCCACCGTCAGCTTGGACGAGGCTCCTCTGGCTAGGCCCCTCTGGAAGGATGGCACAAAACGTCAGCCCAGAGCAGATCTCTCAACCTTGGGAACTTGAAGGTGGATGGACTTCAACTCCCAGAATTCCCTAGCCATAGCAGGTGAAGAACCGCTAGTCTAAACGTCCAAGGGGTGGGCAACTTAGAGGGTCAGCGTGTTCTGTGAATCAAGCCAGGCCATTCAGCCCGATTGTGCCTTTTTTCTTTACACATTGCGCCTTCTCTGCAATTGCAAACGGAGGCCACACCCTGGAATCCTGCATTCAGTTTTGCTCACCACATTAGAAAAAAAGATGTTGAGCCTTTGGGAAAAGTACGAAAGAAGAGCAACTAAGATGATTAAAGGCCTGGAGACAAAAACAGAAGAAGAACGGTTGCAGGAATTGGGGATGACTAGTCTAGACAAAAGAAGGACTAGGGGGGACATGATGGCAGCATTCCAGTATTTGAGGGGCTGCCACAAAGAAGAGGGGGTCAACCTGTTCTCCAAGGCACCTGAAGGCAGGACAAGAAGCAACGGGTGGAAACCAATCAAGGAGAGAAGCAACCTGGAACTAAGGAGAAACTTCCTAACAGTGAGGACAATTAACCAGTGGATCAGCTTGCCTTCAGAAATTGTGGGTGCTTCAACATTGGAGGCTTTTACGAAGAGACTGGACAGCCACATGTCTGGAATAGTATAGGGTCTCCTGCTTGAGCAGGGGGCTGGACTAGAAGACCTCCAAGGTCCCTTCCAGTTCTATGCTGACTTTGATTCTGGTCTGCATGATGCAGACCTTCCAGGGTCTGAGGACCTCTACTTCAGACAGGCCCAGCAGGACCCCCCACTCCATGATTCCCCCAACCCAACCGGCCTGCAAACCTTGGAGGACGGCAGCTTCTCCAAGTGCTTGGACCGGATCCGTGCGCAGGGCTGAGGCGCCTGGCTGTAAGGAACGGGGCCCAGGCTGGGAAAGACAAGCAGCTGGAATAGAACAAACAGAAAATCAGCTTTTGTCATTTATTTTATTTATTTTATTTATTAATTACATTTATATCCCGCCCTTCTCCTTGCGGACTCAGGGCGGCTAACAATTGGATAAAATACAGACATATTATACACCTATTAAAATTGATTAAAAAGAAATATTTAAACTCATCAGATTAAAAGTAATTAAAACCCCTTTAAAATCCCTTAGGCCAGTCCCGCAAGCTGGA